CACATTTCCATTTCCGGGCACTGAGTCGCCTTCTGTAACAATCCATCTGGGAAGAAATGGATACAAATCTGCATTCCTGCCAGCAATTCACGTATTAATGGATCAGAACAAAAGAGTTGTTCCTTTGTTCAAAGCTGTGGACTCTAGAGAGAGCCCCACGTCCATTAGGCCGCGCCATGGAGTGGTGCTCTCTGGAAAGGTCAGGCACGGATTGGTCTTTGCAGCTCAGCCCTGAGTGGCCTGGCTCTCCACTCCGTACACGTGTGCACGCGGTAGGACTCCAGAGCTAAGGTTCATGTAACCAGCTCACAAGAATGCCCACACCTACAGGACTGTCCTCAGCATGGTGGCCCGGGGAAGCCGCCCAGCCACCTTCGCATTTCAGGACTGATAGGAACTCCAGTTGTTTAAATCCCACAAAATGTAAATTGTCACAGAGCTGAAGTCCACAATCCAGAAAATCCATCCATGGGAAGAGAACAGGACTAATTTGCGGGGTGACAGGCATTCCGACAGGGCCCGGGGACCTGCCTGCCATGTAGATAAAATCATGCAGGAGGTTTTGCAAGATCTGAAACATTGAACGTGCTCCCTGCCTGAGAGCGGGCCTTTATCTGCTATGCGCATCTCTAACTGGGTCTCAGTGAGAGTCACATCTCTCTGCAAATTCCATTGTTGAGGGAGGGGAATTGTCCACATCGAAGTCTTTTGAGGGTGAATTTAATTTTCGAAAGAAACATCCCTCAAAACTAAGTCTGCGGAAAGAACTCTTACCATTTCCAACAGCCTGGAGAGACCTGGAGAGCATTGTGCTGAGCAAAATCAGCCAGTCAGAGAAAGACAAGTATCACATGATCTCACTCACATGTGGAATCTAATGGACACAATAAACTGATGAATAAAATAGATCCAGAGACATAGATGCCTGGAACAGACTGAAGAATCTCAGAAGAAAGGTGTGGGAAGGTGGGTGGACGGGAAGAGATCAACCAAAGGACCTGTATGCATTGATGCATAACCCATAGACACTGACAATAGGCGGTGAAGGCCTGGGGAGAGCCTAGAAGGGGAGCGGGGAGGGGGGCATATGTAATAATTTCAACAATAAAGATCTTTAAAAAGTCTACTCAATAAGGTAAATGGTCAGGATGGACAAATTCAAAAGGAGGCAGGGCCGTAAAATGACAGCACAGGTTTGCTCCAATGATCCATGGTGGTTCTGAGAGGCGATTCCAGAAGCACCTGGAGAAACAGACGCCCTCACACTGCTGGTGTGGCCTCGGCCTCTCTGAGGGCGGAGAGACCAGGTCTTTAAAAATGCGCGTGCTCTTTGAGCCCTGACCGGTTTGGCTCAGTGGATAGAGCGTCGGCCTGCGGATTGAAGGGTCCCAGGTTCAATTCCAGTCAAGGGCATGTACCTTGGTTGCGGGCACATCCCCAGTAGGGGGTGTGCAGGAGGCAGCTGATCGATGTTTCTCTCTCATCGATGTTTCTAACTCTCTATCCCTCTCCCTTCCTCTCTGTAAAAAATCAATAAAATATATTTTAAAAAAATTAAAATGTGCGTGCTCTTGGCGCAGAAAAGCAGTTTCTAGGAGTTCGTCCTAAGGAAATTGAGATGGTACGCGGAGATTTGACTGCTAGGAAGCTTGGTGTCATGCTAATAACTGCTTATAACTTGGGAGTGGCCTGAAGGGCCAACGATAGGGAATGGGTGTTTCTGTTGCTGTGGAAAGCTGCTCATGTTCTCTGAAAAGGGCAGGTCACCCAACAGGCTCAGAAGCAATCCAGCCTTTAGTACAGGGGTCCTCAAACTACGGCCCGCAGGCCACATGCAAATACAAATATTGTATTTGTTCCCGTTTTGTTTTTTTACTTCAAAATAAGATATGTGCAGTGTGCATAGGAATTTGTTCATAGTTTTTTTTTAAACTATAGTCCGGCCCTCCAACGGTCTGAGGGACAGTCAACTGGCCCCCTGTTTAAAAAGTTTGAGGACCCCTGCTTTAGTATGTCCCTATGGAGAGGGGATGGGACAGGGGATGGGAAGGCAGACACCACGCTGCGAATGGCAGGTGGGACTGTGACTGTTTTCACTGTTTTATTTTGCTGGCCTACACATTATGATTTTTCTGTAATGGAAAACTCATTTTTATAATAAATGGATAAAATGAAACAACAGAGAGGGGAAAGGGGCCCTGCTATCCTCAAAGAGGAATTATGATGTGCCTGTATTTGTTTTGTTAGAGTCGCCATCACAATGTACCAGACATGGAGTGGCTTCATCAACAGAAACTCATTGCCTCACAGTTCTGGAGGCTAAAAGTCCAAGGTCACCGTGTCACAGGGTTGGTTCCTTCTGAGACTGAGAGAGTGGGAATCTCTTGCCTGCCTCCCTCCAGCTTCCGGCGGTTTATGGGCAATCCTTGGCGTTCCTTGGCTTCTGCTGCACCACTCCAGTCTCTGCCTTCCTCTTCACATAGTGTTCTCGCTGTGTGTGCGTCTGTGTCCAAATTCCCTTTTTTATAGGGGCATTGGTCATATTAGATCGGGCCCACCCTACCCTAGAGTGACTTCATCTTAATTGATTACATCTGCAGTGACCCTATTTCCAAACACCGCCTTGTTCTGAGGTACTGGCAGTTAGGGCTTCAACATATAAATTTGGGGGCGGACACAGTTCAACCAATGCCAGTGCCCCGATGAGATAGGCACGCTGCTCCTACCCAGCCGAGGTTAGTGCCTACCTGCCACCACAGCCTTTGCCAGCTGCTGTGCAGTATGAGCTTGGACCAAGGTCAGGAGTAGTGGGGTGGGGTGCCCACATCCCCGAGGACTCCAGGTTCAAAGAGATAGATAATGGTGAAAACGGGGCCTGAGCTGGCCCCTCCCTGCCCCAGGGTGCCCAGCAGGACTGCAGACCTGCCTGGGCATTCAGCTCAGCACCTCTGAGCTGGGGACACCAGGGCAGAGACCTGAAAGGAAGAATAGTCTAAACTAAAAGAAAAGCACATTTGGGTTGGATATAGGAGTTGTGATTTAAATATAGAAAGAAAGACCAAGAGAGGAGGGAGAAAGAAAGGTTACGTACATTCCACAAATATCTGCACACAGATTATTCATAGCACCTTCATTCATAAGCACCCAAAACTTGGAAGCAATCGTGATGTCTCTCAATAGATGAATGGATAAGCTGTGGTACATCCATACAATGGAATATTATTCAGTGATTAAAAAGAGATGCGGTATCCAGCCAGGAAAAGACATGGAAGAACCTTAAATGCATATTACTAAGGGAAAGAAGCTAATCCGAAATGATGTACTGTATGATTCCAACTGTATGACATTCTCGAAAAGGCAACTATAGAGACTGTTATAAAATCTGTGGTTGCCATGGATCTGGGGGGATAAGGAGGAGGGATAAACAAGTGGAATGTAGGAAACTGTTAGGGCGGCAAAACCATTCTGTATGGTAATGTAATGGTGAGCACATGACATTATGCATTTGTCAAAACCCATAGAATGGCCCAGGCGGTGTGGCTCAGTGGTTGAGCTTTGACCTATGAACCAGGAGGTCATGGTTTGGTTCCCAGTCAGGGCACATGCCTGGGTTGTGGGCTCGATCCTCAGTAGGGGGCATGCAGGAGGCAGCCTATTAATGAGTTTCTCTCATCATTGATGTTTCTCTCTATCCTTCTCCCTTCCTCTCTGAAATCAATAAAAAATATATATATATTTAAAAAAACACAACACATAGAATGTACAGCACAAAGAGAGAAGCCTAATGTCAACTGTGGGCTTTAGTTACTGATAATGTATCAGTATGGTCTCATCACTTGTAACAGCCGTCTTGTGCCAATACAGGCTGTTAGTAATGGCTGACATTGTGTTGGGGTGGAGGAGGGGGATCTGGGAACTCTGTACTCCCTCCTCCATTCCTCTGTAAACCCAAAACCGCTCTCAAAAAAGAAAGTCTATTAACTTAAAAACCAAAAAGTATATTAGGCATAAAGAAGTGTCAAAGGGATCATGCGCTCGTCAGCTACCCAACAGGGGCCCCTGGCAGATAAAAGGCGGGGCAGTTGCAAGCGTTAGCTCTTTTTCTGAGGCCGTTGAGAAGACACAGATGACCAAAGTGTGACCCAACAGGATGTCGGAGAGTCAGGCACCCTGGCTGCTCACACCTCTCTCAGACTCAACAAAGCCTGGGGGGCGGTGTGGAGGAAGGGAAGAAGAACCAAATTCTTATTCCAAGAAATAACAGTTTGGAACATGCACAAGAGTGTCAACGAGTTATGTAGATCTTATCAGCATCGCATTTTTGGTGCCTCCCAGCTATCCAGCGAGGCTCCACCAGCCTGTCAGCACCCGCCAGCGTCCCACGCATCTCGGGCCTATCAGCACCTTGGGAGGCTGAGCCACGGCCGGGCCTGCCTCCCCTGGGCCCCAGGAGGAGGGGAAATTCAGGATATACCATCACACCATGCCCTCGGTTTGCTCGAGCGCCCTCCTCTCTCGGCTCGCATTCTGTGACTTGGTTGGGGCCCACTGTCTGTAAAATGGAACAAGACCTTTCATGCTAATTTTGGAAAGAGTACCCAGGTTTGGAAAAGTCTGAAGGAAGAGAATGTGTAGTTTCAGTAAAGCGAGGAGAAATTGTACAGAGTCACCCTCAAAGTATGTTCCGTGCATAGAGGTGTTTCTACATTTGCAGATAAAACATTGTGATTTTACAAAACTATGGGCCAGGGATGAGGCCTGAGGCTTGCAGAGATTGCCCTCTCCACCTCCCCCGCCCCTCGCCAGAAACAAAGCTCTCACAGTAGATACCTTACAGTCGTTCAAATGTAATATTGCTAAGCCATGCAACAAACCATTTATTTAGACGAATGCAAATGATAGTCTTTATATGTCAGCTTTCTTTTACAATTGCCTGTTTATGACATTAAAGTCAGTGAATGGATCTCCTTGTTAGTTTGTGTGTTTGTTTTCATTTTTAGGCAGCTTTAAGTGCCTTGAAACAATTTTCTGAGCAAGGACTGGATCCAATGGAAGGGACAATGAATATTGACAAAAGCTCTCTTGAAAAGTGAGTAAACCTTCTGTCGTATTCTAAAATTTATAATTTTGTTACTGTACAAGAAAATAAAACACAGATCATGATAAGGCAAAAAACTCAAGACACTAATATCTGTATCTCACAAAATTATTCACAATACGGGTAAATGTAAATAAACGAGAACCCGCACATGTGGTCACATTCACTTCCTACAGTTTGACTGCGAAAGTTTTAATCTGCTAGTAGGTTATTATTTCTGCATTTTAGTGCCTTTGTTGGAAATATTCATGTGTTTTGTTGACCGTAGAGACTGGCAAAAACGAACCAAAAAATTGTGTTCACTTCACACTGTTGAGCATTTTCTGGCTGAACCATTTTCTGAGATAAAATGTTTGACTCACATTCCTGCCAAGTTGTGGGCACAAGAGAGAGAAAAGGAAAAGAAGTTGAGAGGCGACCCTCGCCCTGGCAGCATTTGTCTTTCGCATTGCTGTCCGAAACACAAGCACACGTTGCCACAAAAGCGTGGCTCCCCAGGGCGTTCAAGGCAGAAATGCAGTGATAGCAAGTATGTCTGAAATCCAGCTCAGAGCTTTTTCATGCTATTGAACTTAAGCTCTTATCTGAGACGGGATTTTAGGTCTCTCCAGAGACCCAATTTATAGTAAAGAAATTGAACGCAATTATGTTTACATAGCGGAATCCAAACCCTTCGAGAGCAGTAGTAACAGCAGCAGGTGAGGTTTCAGAACACACACAGGAGATAACGTTTCTAGGATGAAAAACAAAAAACAGATAACCCGGGACATAAAAACCAGATATGCTGATCCTACTGTTAAGAAAGCAACCCCTCACCAAACCAGCCTTTGCTCATTCATATTTAGAAGGTGAGAGCGTGAGAAGAAAACATTTGGTACACAGACGTGGCATTTTAAGTTGTCTATAGATTGGCAACCATTTATAAGCTAATTTAATCAAAACCATTTCCACATGATCTCATCAGGAGACTATCTGAACGTAAATATTGTTGTTTCACTTTAAAATGTCACTTTGGTGGTGACCTCTGCATCCCGTGTGCCATCTGCTAATAAACATGTCTGAAGTTGTGCAACCCTGCCCCTTCAGCTCTTGTTCACGTATTAATCTTCCAGACAAGGCCCGCATCTGGGAGAGAAGGCGGACAGTAAGCAGACACACCCCGGCCCCATCGCTCAGGACTGCAAGAAATCAAAGCCCGTCATCTAACAGCTCCCAGAACCACGGCGGCCACCGCATCCTTATAAACCTGTCAGCACGCATGAGGGTGTCTGTGTTCAAGGAAATGAATGACTAATACCCTTATTTGAGTCTTATGTGAAGACAACGCTATTCTAACACACGAGATAATATACGTAGTCCTGTTTATTCAACTGGGGTGGGGGGTGGGGGCGGGGGAATAAAACTTTGCGCATTTCCCTTGGAACTTGAGATCAGATCATAACTCATGTGTCCAGAGGCAGCAGACATCCGATCCTGCTACTGGGGCTTAAAATAGCAATGAGTGAACCGTGTTAGAAACAGGTAACGCTTTTCCATGATCGGTAGGGAAACTGGGTTTGGTTCCGTTGTTCCGATTGTTCTCTCGTGGCGCTTGTGTTCCGTTCTCTCCTCTCTCGTTTTCAATAATGCTTGACGATTCACCAGTCTCCCAATGACGTGCTGTGGAATGTGATGGTCGTTGTCTTCATATAGAGTCACGCAGTTTCTCTTTCCCTGCAGGTCTTTGTCATCTTCATCCTATATCCGTGTGAATAACTTTAAGGCGCACACACTACTCCAAGATGTATGCAAACAAACATGGTTTACATCGGGTTGGATATTTAATTAAAACTATGAAATCACGTTAGGATCAACTAGTTCCAATAGACTCCAGGAATTTAAAAACAAAAAACAGCTCACTTGTGGGTTTTGAGCTCCGTGATACTTGTAGCCACCAAGGAGGCGTCTTGCCTCGACACACCATTTCTCTGGGTTCCGTGTCCTGTGGCGGACACCGCGCCCACCCCCATTCGTGTCCTGTAGCCACTCACTGTTTGCATCAAGAGTGTTTTTAATAACTGCCTCTGGACTTGGGACAGTGAGGAGGATCCGCACCGGTGCTGTCCCCGGCGGGGAAGGGAGAGCCTGAGGGGCGGCCGTCGGAGTCTAGCCAGCTTGTAGCCAGCCACGCTCGGGGCCAGCATGTCGGGATCCAGCGTGTAGCAAATGCAGTAAAAATTTGGTTGGTTTCTGTGTGAAGTGTGGTTACTGTCGTTCTTTCGTTCCCTGGCTCTCGTTTCTTTAAGAATCACCCCAGTGAGACCGTGCCAAAGGCCGCCACCCGGCCCAGGCACCCTGCTCAGCCTGGGCACCGAGGACGCTCGCTGGTCCGGTTGCCGGCTGCATGTATCTGCGAAACTGCAGAACACCTCCCGGTGACTCGGCGCCCGGCCCTCACGTCACCTCATTGTTCAGGCTTTCTCCGTATTGATCTGCAGGCGTTGTGAAATGAGAAAACACTCTCCGATCTAACTGCTCGGCCCAACGTGACAATAGGAATATAATTATGTAAGATTTCACAAGCAGAACCACCGCAAATCATGATCTGGCTGACTCACGGGCGACAGGAGGATAAACAAACAGCAACATAAGGAAATCACTCGGGGTGTTTTTAATGATTCCCAGGTGGGGAAGTCCGCCAGTTTGGGGAGGGCCGGTGCCCTTGGAGGAAATAGGTTGGGTTACATAAAGCTGGGGCCTTGTGGAAAAATCACAGCACGTTTGTAAAGTTGGGGTTCGCAAAGGTAAGCCAGGTGGGGCAGGAGGTCCTGCTGCCTTGCAAGGGGCGCAGGGGGCCCTCACTCATTCCCTTGGGGGACAGGCCCTTTCTTCTGCCGGGCCCTCAGGGTGCGGGGGGCGGGGAGAGGGCAGGCCTGTAGACAGCACATTTCAGGTGGGCTCATTAAAGGGGATCTTCCGTTTATCAAAGGCAATAAACACAGACCACCTCCCACAGCCCACAGTCCAAACACCAACGTGACCCGAACAGGGCTGCGGGAGAGCGATGAGAGCAGGGAACAGCCCCAGTCAGCTCTCGCAACCCAAGTATCCGAAACATTTAACTCTTGAGCTATGTGACACGAGTCATTCCTAGAGCTGATGGATCTCTGAACACAGTGGGGTTGTGT